TAGCTGTTAAATGAACAGCTAAAGATAATTTACAAAAGCTATAAGACATCTTTGTACTACATCAACATTTATACTTTCACAGTTATTAGGAGGCGCTGGCCCAACTAATGGGTCCCAGGAAGAGACGGTTCTTGTTAAAGGTGAGATCTCTCATCACAAAACAAGGCGAAAGTCAGTCTTTACGTCTGGAATCCTGTTTCCAGAATGAGATCTGTAAGGGTTTCCAATGAGATCTGAACGTTGACACCAAAGTTAAAAAAAAAAACTATAAAGCGGAATTCCCAATCTAGGTACCAACGTATACACTCGATGTTGCCCATCAGCAATCTATCAGCTGTTATCAAGATGGTACTATAGTCCACTTCTGAGGGCAAAACTAAGTGCCTCCCTTAATTCGGTTGTTACCACGGTGTACCAAGCATCTAGTCGGACGTCAAAATAATTTTGCATCGGGTCAGTGATCCCAGTAATGGCCAAGGATAGAAGGAAAAGCTCAATATTCATATTCCATGTATGAAGTTTGGTTTTAAGTCGTTCTAGAGCTGCTCGACGTGCAGATTAACAATTTTTGTAAATGTGTCTTTGACCACAGGTCATACTGAGATGGTAAAATTTTAATTTAATTTAAGTTCACTTTGATCGAAATCGTTTTTGCATTGTCACTTTACATTTTTAACTCATTTCATAGTAACAGTGTATGTTGTTAATGCCATATATGAATTCAAGGTCTAGTCAAATTTAAATTAGTGTTAGGCATAGATAGACTTAGCAAGTACAACACAATTCTGTGACCGGTTCGACCTTGGGGCCAATGAATCACAAAAATGCACCAGATAATTACATAATATTAATATTATAATTGGACTAAGAAATGCCCATCAATGTAATAAATTGCTTATCGTGATAGATCAGGTAAGAAGGCGATAGAAAGGTTAATATGTACCACCTATCCTGTCAATCTAATCAATTACAATATGTAGCTTCTAGACTTTAAACATATCACCCCAAATGAACATGTACCTGTGTTTGGGACACTTGCCCCGAAATATAATACAACAGACAAATAAATGTCCAGATAAATATCGCGTACGATAATCTTTTAACTACCTACTTTTTTAACCTATAGCGTGTAGACACATTTAGCAAGCCGATTTAAGGCGTGACAAATAGCGGCCACGAAACGTTAATCACGAGAACTCAAAAGTATCTATCATGTGACATCCGATTTTGTAAGTGGTTGTTGTTGTTGTTGTTGTTGTTGTTGTTGTTGTTGTTGTTGTTGTTGTTGTTGTTACATCTTCGTTGTGGTACAGAGGTGAGCGGCTTATAAAAAGGGCATTCACACTACCTACAACACAATTACCCCGTACTTCAAATATCAAAATGCCATGCCACGGTTAAGACAAGCTGAAGGAGTTTTATTTATTTATTTATTTATTTATTTATTTATTTATTTGTTTGTTTGTTTGTTTGTTTGTTTGTTTGTTTGTTTGTTTGTTTATTTATTTATTTATTTATTTATTTATTTATTTATTTATTTATTTATTTATTTATTTATTTATTTATTTATTTATTTATTAGCACAGGTAGATGTTTTCGTTTGTCTTTCGAAACAAACTACAAAAATGGGGGTCGTCGATCTTACATAAATTACAGACAGATCATAATGTAATGGGGCTTAAATCATGTGCAGATAATTCTATAAGTTTGTCGATGAGGGCGTAATGACTCCGCTGATCGCCATGAACGTGGGAAGGCTGAAAGAGGTAAAAGGTGGATTTTATAAAATGTAATATTAATTATTGTGACAAATAACACATAGGCATAATTGGTCACCATAGATCCTTACTCTGTGTATATAATTTATAAACGCCAAATATATATATATAACAAATAAAGGCTTCTTAATTTGCAATATTCAATTTAAGAGAGACACTCATTATTGAAAAAGTATTGATATTTGTAGTGGCGCTTTTTTAAAAAAAACACTCAATAGGGACAACAGATCGTTATTCTATATTTGATCTTGAATATTCTCGACTCTTAAGCAGTCGTCGCGAATGGTCCGTATCATGATAAAGTAGTATGTTATAGATACAAAATATTATATGAATATATATTATATTTATACCCATTGGAAATGCTGACTAGACATTGATTAGTATAGTGCTGTGATTACTTCAGTGTGTATCAATGGTTCTCATAGTACCACACATGATAAAGTTGTGTTTAATGGTGTATCTGATAGTAATAATAATTATTATTTGAGTGGAATTTGATTTATTTGTATAGCATGTAATAGGGTTTCTAGGCCAATCCTATTATCTGACCTTACGAGACAGATGTATATTGTTGGATGTCAAATGCATTCGACATTTAAAAGATAAACCAATGTATTGAACTTGTGTTTAACTACATTGTTTTGTTTTGTATTCCTAAGCTGAACATATGTAGAGAGAAAACAGAATTCTATTAAATATGAACTAAATGGGATGACATTTGCAGCCTCATATCTAAAGTCAAAAGAAATGTCACAGTGATAAAATCTTAATGACGGGAAGGTGTACGTTTACACTCCTTATGTATACTGTCTATCACATATACTAATACTGTAGCATGTCATGACATACATAGTTGTAATAACATAAATTACCTCAAAAACAACCGTGTTTTCATACCAATAGTCATCATAAACCCACTCGCCGTCGCAGTCAGTTGTTCCAGAGCGTGGAAAGCAGGTCTCTACTGAAACCTCCTGAGATACGTTGACATCATAACGTTCACACTGCTCCCATTCACTTTCACTATAACTGTATGGTATAGTACAATTCTTCAACTTGGAGTTAGTCTCGTACGTCTGGTTCTTATATGTTCGACAGTAATGGTCAGCTGATGCACTGTAAAACGTGTTGCCCATCTGATAAAAGGCTGTAGCGCCAGCCGCGATAAATATACATATGTATTGAATTTGTTGAGAACGTCCAAAAGAACCGACGCTTTTCAAAATGTCTTCAAATTGCGTCATTTTGTAGCTGAAATAGTAGCAGTTAGTGATGTTGTAAGTCAGGTGCGAATACACGCTCCTGTGAACTGGACGGCATTCATACAGCGTGTGTGAGTGTACTGCAACCTAGGGGCAGATTCTGACCTGATATCATTGATTATCTAGATACTGACCTTGTCACTGAATAATATTGATAAACTGGTTAAAACTAGCGGTGTTGGGTGATTGTATGTAAATCTTTGTACGAGTTTTAGTAATAAATAACCACTAGAGTCCAGTTCAATCGAATACGGGTAAGTATGGGGCTATCACTAAACCGCGAATTGTCATTTGTAATTTGCTCTTAATATTCAATCCAAGTTTGTGTAGCTTAGGCATATAGAACAGAGCAAGGTATGGTAATCTCTACTATACCTTACCCTCTTTTCGCAACCGTACGCTACGCAAACCATCATAAACCAAGTTACAATTGGTATAATGTAAATATATACTACCGTCAATGTAATTCATTCAATTTGAAATTAAACGCCATATGTCTACCATACAGCAAGGTATACAAACAAATCATATATTTGAACATATTGAGTGAAAGGTACTAGCTAAAATTTTGTGTGTGATCAAAATGAACAAAAACAGTAAAAAATTACTTAATAGTTAGCTTCCCCAAGTATATTTTATTATTCTCAATGTCCCACAAAGAATAATATAACATGAATTGTATACAAGTCCCTTAAGGATAATAGTGCAGCAACATATCTAAGAAAGATTTTGCTAGAAAATACCAGCCAAATCTCAATAACCCTTATAGAATAATAAAATATAATATGATAAATAAAATGGATAAAGGTAATAGTGCAGTAATATATATAAACAAAATAAAATACTAGCTTTGACGGGAAAAGTACATTGTACTCGATGGAGTATGTGTATGCGTTTTGTTTTCAGGGCTTCAACACCAAGTGGTAGCTAGCACTGTTAACACTAACAGTGTTATCTCTATTTTTGAAATTTGATTTGAGTTGGAATTCCTAATGCATTTATTCCAATCCAGTATTTGGCCATTCTAATTCCCTCACTTCTAGATCTACACAGACTTGACTGGAAAAAAACAAAACAAAAACAGAAAGAATCTG